ATATTGTAAGGTAGACCCAACAATGATACATACAGAGAAAAACCTAACAATCATATGACCCCCCCAATGAGCAAGCACTTTGGCGTCAGTGGGAAGGAAAAAGTCCCCTTTAATAGGAAGAAAACTCCAGCAGAACCAGGCTCAGAAAGAGGCGGCCATCTACAGAAATGACCTGGAATTAGCAATAATCCCAGCCTTTCTTTGAAGATGTGTAAAGTAAAAAAAGAAGAAAATTTGCTGATCTGCTGACTGTTTTATAATTTATCAATGAATCATTTTGCAATATCTGTATATAAAACAAAGAAACTGCCAAACTCCATTGGGATAAGGTGGAACCGTCGTAGGTTTGAGGTGTATGCCAGAGATATCGTTAATTTTAAAACACAATACATGGAACTGCTGATTAATTAGTCCAGCTCTCAATTTTAAGGAATGGATTTTAAAAAGTGTATCGTGGAATCAGCTTTAAATAAAAAAAAATGTCCACCAATCTCAAGGTGTACATGCAGATGAACAGTGCTTTCAGTCATACCACTTCAGCCATGTTGAGAGGGTATTAAGTACATGTGTGTGAATACGTGAATGCGTGCTGTTGAGGGGAATGGGTGGAGTCTTGGGGTAAGTAATAGCAGGCGGCATTCAGCGAGTTGGTGGTCGTGACAAAGCACTTGACAGGGCGAAAGACACCCCCTAATTTCAGGTTGACCTTGGCTTGTTTAGCGCTCCCTATTGCTGCTGGTGACATTGACACGTGTCTGGGGTTGGGCTGAATCTAGGAGCTGGGGGTCTTGGGGGTGTGTGCAGATGGATGACCGTTAGGGGCGCAGGCTTATATTCCCACGAGAGGAGGCAGAGGTCAGGGATCAAAGCCCCAACTGATTCCCTACCCTAGTCTGTGTCTGGGGACAGACAGAGATTGGGAATGAAATGAAGCTCAGGCTGGCCACATTATGCAGTTTATGTAATTAATGCAGCGGCAGGAATGGCAGGGGTCGGCAGGAGCGGTGGGTGTTTGTGTGCATGTGTATGTTAGCATTGAAGGGAGTGTTGTGTGTGTCTCTTGTGCCAGGCTGCTGTAGCTTGCACAATGAAGCAGTGCAGCTGGCACAAGATTCACACACACACACACACACTAGAGTCTAGAGAGGTCTTTTAATTAACGGATTTGTTAATTTTCTATTCAACTTGACAGTGATGAATGGGGATGCAGCGGCTGCCCATCTCTGCCTCGGCTGTAGAGCAGACAGAGCTGCCTGGGAGGCCTCTGGGTACCATCATCTCACTCTGGAGCCGTATTTATGCATGAAGATTTTTTTTAACCCATTGCAAGCCAGAGTCGCTGCATTTATTGTAGCTTTATCTGTGTAAAACAAAGAAGAAAAAACACTAGCTGTGGCTCGCACTCCGCAATGAGCCTGTGTGGAGGCCAGACAGGGCTGTGAAGTAAACACAGTTAAACAATGGCCACATTTTATGTGAACAAAGCAACATTTGTTACTGCTGGTTGGCTACAATGGAAGTAGTGATTACTTATTGTTATCTTGGCCAGTTACCAGTTTAAGCTTATCATTCATTGTTTTCAAGTGACTCTTATTGCTTAAAATGTAAATGACACATTGAAACCTAGTAATTTACCACAGCATATTTCTTATCAATGACGTCCATTTAAACGCAAAATATAGCAGTAACAAAGGCAACGCCCCTTTGTGTTTTCCTTAGGAGCATACTGAATGTAAGAAAATCACATGTGCACAATGTTTGTTAATACGATAGGATATATCAGAGGTGACGATAGCGTTTGATCGTATTACTTCTGCTCTGACGTTACACTTTACACTCACGTTCCAAAAAACATAAATCAAGTACCGTAGGTTTATTCCATCTTTCAGAGAGCAGACCAGTCATCTACTGCAACTATATTAAAGCTGCAGTAGATGACTACCAGTTATTTAAAATATGTTAGCTTCTCTTAAAGACGTAACATTTAAATCCACAATAAGAGCCACCTTGTTTTCTTTTGTCTTGCTGTGTGGGGTTTGCATGGCTTCACTGTGCCTGCTAGTAAAGCTGCTTCCTCCCACAGTAAAAGACATGCTCTGTGGTTAATTGGTGATTTCAAACTGGCCGTAGGTTTGGATGTGAGTGTGTTGGCCCCATGACAGCTGGGATAGATTCTGGTAGCCCCGTAAGCTTAAGCTAAGAAAATGGATGCAGTTAACTGCACCATGACTTACTAACTAATCAAACATTTCTCTTCTTTACTGCTTTACTGTGTAAAGCACCTGTGAGCTGACCTGTCTTTTAAAAGGCTTTTTATAAATGAACTTGCCTATTCTCCTCTCATGCCAGAAACCTTTCTGCTGTTGCCCTGCTTTCGAGTAGTGTGAGTCTGAAATGAAATCTTCTAATGTAAAAATAAATAAATTTCATATTCATTATCAATACTTCCTTTGTTGCTGCCAAACACGTTTTGCATTAAGAATAATAAAGGGTAGGCCCAAAGCAGCAGAGCCACATGTCATATTGGCCCCCGTGCAATTTATCCATTGTGATATGGCAGCCATTCATCTTTTAAATGCTCTCTCATGATTTCCTTTGTGCATGCAGAGCTGGAGGTGACCTTGAAAAGAGACCATGTGGTGTATTCTGATGATAATTTATTCTCACATACAAGAAACTGTCTCGCTAACATGATTTTCTTCATGCTTTTGCGCCGTCTTACACTCACTGGAAACTTTTGCAGCAGCAGCGAATGTAATCGCTTTTAAAAGAAGCCTTCCCAGGATTTATAGGCCCGTGCAAATTTTGGATGCACGCATATTTTCTTGAAGATTTTGGCATGATTTAGAATGAAACTCACCCCCCCCCCCCTTTTGTGACCCAAATACAGGTCTTATTCCACAATATATATACCCAGCGGCTGAACATGAACCTATAAACAAGCACATTTATAAGGCGCACCAAAGTGGCTTACAAAACGACGCCGTTTCTGTTTTCCTGTAAACGAATCGCAGAATCATATCCACAGACTAAGTCTTAATCTGCAGCAGACCGTTACGGGTTTTATTTCGTCAATGAAAACCACAGTCAGAAAATTAATCTGAGCTCCAATTTGAAAATATAAGACATGCAAATGACTTCTGTCTCAATTTTCACTGTCCTTAATATTTCACTTGAGGGTGTGACAAAAATAGTAACACTGTCATTGTCCCAGCAGTCGGGCCAGTTATCAAGCTCTTTTTTTGGGCGCCCTCCTTACAGGGCTTTGACTGACACACACACACACACGCGTGCACACACACACACACACACACACACAGATGTGGCACACTCCTTTTTAATGCATATTAATGAAGTTAAACGGCCTGCTACAGGGACGAGACAATGGAGCAGAGGAGGACTGGTTGTGAGCACCAAGCCGTGGGCTCAGGGGAAGCAGAACATGTGCAGCTTCATGCAGAAGTGACAGGTTCATCATCGGTGAAGGATGGAATCTGCTACAGTGGTCAAGCACAAGATGTTTTTTGTGTGTGTGCGTTACATGACTATGTCCTACACTTTTTGAATTTTCCTAGTTCCACTATGTGGCACTCTTTGATTTTTTGTCTTTTCAGCTACTGATGTATCCCCAACTCATTCAAACTAGAAAGTTATTGTCATTAAAGTTGTATAAGGCATTGCAAAAAACAAACTTTTGGGACTTTTAGTCTAAGGAACAAGCATTAGATCAATGCCCATATGCCCATATGCACAAAAGAGGTTTTGGTTGCTGTAGCGATTCCTCTATCCATATTGGTTATAAGACTCATTCATAATGTGATTCCAGTATGAGATATGGTAGGACAAAGTCTAATATGACCTATTCTTTAAGACACATCATAATCTATTGTTCAGGGCTTGTGACCTCCCTCCCTCCCTAAATCAAAGAGTTCCTACTTGTGACACCTTGTGACAGTTTTGGCATCTTTGTGACTTTTGTTATATTGATATTAACAAGCCTCGATTCACAAGATGAAGATTAAAAAAGAAGCTAAACAAATATCTTATTTAATGTTATCAAAAGTGCAATAGAGCGCAGATGGAAAATTCAACCCTCCTGCCACGATTCTGTGGCTGTGGAGACAAATCTGAGAAAATAAGTCAAGTCTGCTGTGCTGAATTGAGTCTCTAAGAATGAAAATATAAGCATGTATTATTCAAATGTAAGGCGGTTTGTCGATTGGTGTGACACAAACAAGGCGAGATTATTCTTATGACTCTTGTGTTGTCCTCGGGATTCCCATATATTTGTTTGCCATTCACCTAGGGGTCATTTCTGACCCGAGGACAACACAAGGGTTTTAAATATGATGCTGGTCTGAGCAGCACTGTTATTAAAAACCAACCAACTACACAAATCCAGTTTGACAAATATCACAATATCTGCATGGATAACAACTTCACCAGGCTGCACTGTAAATCTTTGGTCAGAAAGATCATTCACACTGTTTAGAACCACAATCTGTACTCTCGGTGCGAACTGCTACCATCGGGAGGATGATACAGAATTCTGCAGAGCAGAATGACTTTTTAAGAACTCCTTTGACCCTCTATCACGTAAAATTTTAAAAAGCAGCTTAGAAAAAGTTGTGGAAACAAAAAATACACTGGAAGACAGGTCAAATCCACTCTGATCTATCTATCTATCTATCTATCTATCTATCTATCTATCTATCTATCTACACTAAAAAGCAAAGGGGGGAAGTAAATTGACAATATGTCATAAAACCAGTCACATATTGAGTTCAACAGAGTAACAGCTGATTTCTTTCAAACCCAACCAACAGGGTAGCTTACTTTCTTTTAACACAAAGAGATTTCGGTGCTAATCGTCATATTATGGGAGGGGAAATGATTTCCTAGCTCAGTCACTCCCTGCTCTGTAGACCCTCCTATGGGGCCACAGAGAAAATCAACTTGAACCAAACCACGCCCCCGTGTTTTATTCTGGGCAACTTAACAGCGCCTGCATGCTCAATGTTCTGCAAAGTAGACCCAGCAGGAGCAGACAGAGGAACCCTCCACTGGATCCTCATGCTGACAGCCATCCAATTCAAAACGCCTATTCACTAGTGTGGACGTTAAACTGTGCGGCTCTGACAGGATGGATTTCTTAGACCGCGGTTACCTGGACGCGCGGTCTCCTTATGATTACACCTTTAATTTTTGGAACGACTACCTCGGGCTGTCGACACTTGTCGCCAAAAATAAGATCAACAGTCCGCCCTTCAGCCCTAACTCTATAACCGAGTCTCTTAAAGCGACTTTGGGACTCGAGGACGATTCCCCGGTTTGCTCCTGCGTAATTGGGCACGGCAGGGACACCAACGACGGACCCTTGGACTGCTACTGCGCGGCCCCGAGCTCCCCGCCAATCTCCATCTATGATCTCAAAGAGCGTATCTCGCTTCTCAGGCCATACGAACACCTCGCTAGTGATTCGCAGCTGGGGGACAGAGATTCCCCCTCGTACAAGGGAAGCTTCTCTGGCTTCGACCTGCTCGCCATGGACCGAAGACGCAAACAGGCTCAGAGGGGCAAACCGGAGCCCAAAGTGTGCGTCTTCTGTCGGAATAACGGCGCACCAGAGGAAGTTTACGGCACCCATATCCTGAAGACAGTGGACGGCAGAGTGCTTTGCCCCATCCTCCGGGCGTACACCTGCCCCCTCTGCAGTGCCAACGGTGACAATGCGCACACCATCAAGTACTGCCCGCTTTCTAAAGACCAGCCGAGCCAGAGAGTGGCAAAGGGGGGCAGAGCGATTGGCAAACGGCTGAAAATCTTCTGAGCGAGCAGATGAAGTTAATGACGTTTGAGTGGCACTGTCTGAAATTACTAATGTCTGTGGCAGTAAAATCGCTCCATTTGACGCACAAGACAAGTCTGGAAAAAGAAAGAAACGATCTGAAGAAATAAGATTTCTATTCTTTTTTTTTCTTTTTGTACATGTAACAGCTTCATTTCCAATGTTTCTGTCTATACTGTAACTGTGGGCACATAGTTTACACTTGGACGCACTGCGCGTAATATAACCCCCAGCACTCTTTAAAGACTTGGTGATTAAAAAAATGAACCAAAGTACTGTACAGATCGACCTGTGAATGATCGCCTTCATGCTATAATCAGAAGTTGCTGTGTTTCAAGTAACGCAGTGCCAGCGCAAACAGCCCAGCAGTCAGCGGGCTGCTCTTGCCAACATGAATGAATATGCAGCACTCCTGATATGAGGTGAATGTTTAGTCCCACAGCCCATTGGCCCCATGGATGTAAGAAGTGTGACAGGCCGTGCAAGAGATGCAAGAGCTACTTCTTTATGTCCTGCACATGTTTTTTCTCCCTTCCTTGAGATCTATGTTTTCTACCAAAGGAATACACTTTTTGTATTGCAACTTAGCCTAAAGGTAAATTTCTGTAGTTTATATGTCGCTCATGTCTGATATTCTTTATGTGATTTCGTGTAAATAGGTATCTTACACATTTCAAGTGAATGTAAAACACTGGAGGTGAGATCTGACTTTCATTTCTGTCATATAGTTCAAGTACACACACTGACTTGTTTTTGTTTTGTTTCTTTAAACGTGGAAATGTGCACCTGCAATTCTTGTAAACGTACAAACGATTTTAGCAATGAAAAGCCTGACATTCCAAAGTCTATCTGTCAACTAAAATGTTTTATGTACTTATTTTTACCTTATGTACCACTGGGAAATATATTCGTTGTAAATTACCTCTGAATAAACATGGGATTTGCAGATTTCTTTGACTGTACGAGACTCGCTGACACGATCATGATTATGGTAGCTGTAGGCAGAGCCTGCAGCAGGTGGTGACAGCATCTTAAGTTGAGCGTATGCTGTCAAAGGTAAGTGGGGAAATACATTTATTCACAAAACTATTTCATCTGGAACCATCTACAGCTGCCACACTGACATGCAGTGCAACTGCGCCACCTAGTGCTCAAAGCCTTGAACGCTTGAATGCAGATATCACTAAAAACGTCTTTAGACAAAACTTTAAGTCATTCTTTCTCTTTTTATTTTTTAAATTTAGGGTCTATGTGTCTCTTTTAAAGTCCGCTCTGGGTGATAACATTTTTTAAGCGCTGATCTTATTACAGAAACCCCCTAAAATCTTCATTCAGATGAGTATGTTATTGTTTTCACATCCGCCAAGTAGGTCATGTGACCGGCTCAGTTTTCTGCCTAAGCATCTTTTTATTCATAGAATTTGTAAAAAACAAAATAATAAAATAAAAAATAAAATCGGAGTTTCAAGTTTTGATCCAGGAATTTTTAAAGGGATTTATTATCGTCATGAGATGAGGTAAAATTATATATTATCTTATATGTACATGTAATATCGTCACAAATACATTAAATAAAAAAAAAACCCAAAAAACTGAAAGACGTTGTCTTGATGTTCTCAAGAAAATATTCCCAGCTCATCTGGATCCAGATATCCTACTGAATAAGGACTGGAGTGGAGGAATGCACTCTAGGACTGGTCTTTATTGCTTAAGTGAATATGGTACTTTAAATATGGAATTCACCCTTCCACACCTGAACCATGAAAGATTTCCCAAAAAATCTTTCATGGGGGGGGGGGGCATGTGATATCATGTCATGGTTGAGGAAGCAGATAATATCACTTCACCCTCCACTGGTCACGGCAGATGGTTGGACGTCCCTGAGCCTGGTTCTGCTTGAGGTGTCTTCCTGTTAAATAAGAGATTTTCCTTCCCGCCAAGTGCTTGCTCATTGGGCGTTTGATTATTATGTTTTCTTCTTTCTAGCTCTTTACCTTACAAAAACACTTAGAGGCTACTGTTGTTGTGACAACTGAATTATATAATATCATTAATGGCTGTGTTCAAACATCTCAGTGAGACATGACAGGACACAGAAACAAAAGCAGCATAAGGAGTCTGTTATTAAATGGTTTACATTTTAAAGCCTTATGTTTTCTTCTAAATCAAGACTATATTTTGTTCAGGATTATTCACAGACCCTTTTAGCCGAGAGCATTTTCATTGCAAAGAATTACAGCTGTTATTTGGCAGAAACTCCTAAATAAAACTTGTGCAGTAAAAGTCGATAGATTTCTGTAATAACTGTCACATATTTTATGAAAGATATTGGCAGTAACATTTTTGATATATAATGTTGTTTTTACAAATCAATTTGAATTGAGCTAACGCACTGACCACAGCAGAGACTTAGAAATTTAACACATTTTGCTTCTCTCTAATATAATAACACTCATGCATTTCACACAGAAATATGTAAAACAACAATCCAATAGCCTCTATTGGGGACTACAGTAAACTACAACGTTACCAATAATGTTACTTCCATATGGTCTAAAGGCCGAATGCTGCCATCTAGTGGCACCGTGTAGCTTATCAGTGTTTTTTAAGGTTTAAGTTAAAATGTGATGTTTAAAATAGTCATAAAAACACCAAAAAAATAGTTTTTCCGCCTAATAAAAAAACCCCTTTAATATAAGCAATAAAGCATGGCACTTCATTCTCAAAATGTTTTGTGAGTATCTTGCCTTTCACAGGATGCTGGATGGATTCTCAAAGTTGTAACAGAGTTGTCTTTTTTTAAATGTTTTGCAGACCTTGCTGACATCTGTAGAAACATTTGCTGTGAAAAACAGAGTAAAGTGTTTTCTTTAATGGCCAATAAACATGAGCAGGAATTGTAACCATTCGCTAGATCAGCCTGATGCCTCTTTTTAAGTAAATACTAAGGCTGATTAGGCATAAACTCTGACTCATCTCTGAGTGTTAAACAGCCGGAGGGTTTCTGTGTGTCAGCACATACAGATACTGTAGCACTTTCTTCTTCAGTGGTGTCTCCCACACACACACTGTCAGAGTCAGGACAGCTGAAGAACATCCCTGACTCATCAGTTTGCAATCTAATTAGATCAAACAGATATGTCTACAGACACTCTGGAAATAAAGCAGTATAAGGGTAATTGTAGGAGGGTGTATATCTACAAAGATCTTTCACAGCAACAGCACAGATGGCAGTTAAGAAAGACGACAATCTAGAGGAAACGTGAATAAGTAATTGTTTGTTAAATATCTCAAAAAGCAATAACCAACAATGAACCATGTGTTCAGTTCCTATTATTATTATTTTTTTAAATGTAGTACACGTCCACCACAAATCCATCTGATGTCATCTATGTATTCATCTCTGTAGTAATTATTAAATATTGTTCCCTGGAGCATTAAATGCTTTAAATGCCTGTCTGTTCCTTATGGTATATGCCCTTATTCTCTCTATTACTAGTACTATTGATTTTCTCTGACTGGGTTGGGGAGAAGTCTTTGTTTCAAGTCATTTTCATATGTTCTATCCCAGGTTTCTTTTATATTTAATCTAAGCAAGTACCCTGCTTGATAATGCAATTGAGCCTGTGCTGAGCGTATAAAGTAAAATACCACCTTTGGGAATTTATAGAGGGATAACAATGATTGATTTCAATGCTATTTTGGAGCACATTAAATAAAAATCTGCCCTACTGCACATTCACTGCCTGCTGTGGCTGAAAGTGAATCTCCAAACCAAGCTGCTCTCGCTTCACTGCAGCAGCCTGCTATTGGCCTGGTGAATGCTGACAGCGCTGATGTTTCTCTGTGTTGGAGGGGGGGAGCAACGTGACTCTATAAAAGCTCAGGATCTGCAGCATCACTGAACTGGTGCAGTGCAAAAGCGCTCACTCATCCACACCGATGGTGTGCAGAACAAGGGGGACATAAAAAAAAACCTTCTGAAACATACATTTCCTTTTCTTAAACAAACAAACAAAAAAATCCACAACAAAACTTCATCATGAGCTACGATTCCTTCTTCTCCACCCGCCGCCCTTGGGACAGCTACAAAGGCTCCCGAACCACCACCAAATCCTCCGTGTCTTCATCTCTCTACCCTTCTTCACGAGCTCCTCCATCTGGTAAGAGGATCCTAAGGACCTCCTCCTCTTCCTTTCCAGATGGATCTCAGAGGATGAACCTGGCTCAAGCCAGCTCTCTAAACACAGAGCTGCTGGGCCTGCGCTCCCAGGAGAGGGCACAGCTTGTGGACCTGAATGACCGATTCGCCACCTACATTGAGAAGGTGAGGCACCTCGAGCTGCAGAACCGAGCCCTACTGGCTGAACTAGATGCGCTGAAGAGGCGGCAGAACGATCCGTCCCGTCTGCAGGCGCTCTATGAAGGTGAGGCACGGAGTTTGAGGGCCATGATTGACTCAGAGAATGGGGAGAAGATGAGGATGGAGGCAGAGAAGGACTACCTGCGCGATGTGTATGAGCAGATGAAGGAGCGCTATGAGGAGGAGGCACAGCGGCGCATGGATGCCGAGGAGGCCCTGCAGAGGGCCAAAGAGGAGGCGAGCAGGGCCGTGGTCTACAACTGTGATGCAGAAGCCACTGTGGCCTCCCTGTGCGATGAGATGGTGTTCCTGAAGAAAGTCTTTGCAGAGGAGCAAGCAGAGCTGCAGGCCCAGCTGCAGGTGGCCAACATTAGCATTGACATGGAGGTGTCCCGGCCTGATCTGTCCACCGCGCTGCGAGACATCAGGGCTCAGTACGAGCGGCTGGCGCACAAGAACATGCAGGCCGCCGAGGAGTGGTACCAGAGCAAGTTTGCAAGCGTGGCAGAGATGGCCAGCAAAAACAACGAGGCCGTGCACGCCATCCGGGAGGAGACCATGGAGTACCGGAGACTGCTCCAGTCCCGCTCCTCGGAGATCGAGGCACTCCGGAATGTCATCGACTCCCTGAATAAGCAACTGGAAGATCTGGAAGAAACACAGGCGAAGGAGGTGGAAAAGTACCAGGTGAGGCAAAGAACCAGGGAAATTAGAGCCTGCATAGGGAGAATGGAGCTCAGCCTTATTTTCCAACATGCATT